ATTTATCAAATGTCAACTTAAATTGATTTTGGTGAAAAAAAAAAAAAAAAAAAAAACCTTGTACCATGATTTTTTATAAAATAAGATAAAGTAATATATACGAGAAATCCAAAATTATCAATACCATGATTTTTTATAAAATTTAAAAGTAGAAATTTATCAAACTATGTAGCAAAATCATCTCATGATTAGGAGGAAATGGTTTTTTTCATTTATATATATGTATATATGTGTGTGTGCGCGCGCGTGCGCGCGCGCATGTGTGGCATATCATAATTTAATAGAAAAGTATTGGGATTAAGATTTATGATATTAAAATAAATCAAATTTTTTGTCATAATAAACGCTTTTTCTACTTAATAAATAAATAATTGAAGACGGTCTAAACAAATATTTGTTATTCAAGTGAAATATCTTTTGACTATAAAAAAACCAAAAAAAAAAAAAACAAGTGTGAAATATGTTTTGGGGGTGGGGGAAAGGGGTTTTGTTTTGATATTATGTGACACAACTGGATTTATTTTGAGTATGCTATGTTCATAATTTTTTAGAATCTTATAAATTTCTACTTTTAACTTTTATAAAAAATCATGGTACTGATATTTTTGGATCTCTTGTATATATCTCTCTCTTTCTTTATCTTATTTTATAAAAAATCATGGTACTAGTTTGTTTTTTTTTTTTTTTTTTTTTCATTAAAATCAATTTAAGTTTGACATTTGATAAATAACTGCCATATTAGCAAGAACATTTCTAAAGAAAAAATCAAAAGCGACGTTTCATAATAAGAGGTCTCGTTTTAGTGTTTTATGCAATTAAAAAAATAAAAATAAAGTGAGTGGCGGGTACTTTAGTAATACTAATGTATTGTTTTGATTTTTAAGATAATTTCGTCCGAAAATTTTATCACATAATTACTGTAACAGATGTTAGTTAAAATGACCCTTTCGTGATAGTTGAGGAAAGTTAATTGCTAAAGATATTCATAAGGGGAGTTTTTTGCAAACGAGTGAAAAAAGAGGGGATTTTTTGCAATTTGCCCTTGAAAAACAACTAAAAAAATTTAAAAATTCAATACGAATTATAATTGTTTTCTATATATTATATTATTATAATTTCTTTTTCTTTCACCTTTTAATGGACAAACTTTTGCGAGAAAAGAAACTTTTATAGTTGGAATTAACATTCAGAATGATGTGGTTGTAGCATTTTCCAAAGTTAGGACACATTCAAACTTTTAAATCGGACTTTTTGAATCTGAGCCCAGCCCACATTCAAACTTTTAAATGCCGTCTGCGTTTGGGTTGAAAAGTCATATTAGAATTATGGGTTACATTTGAGTCAATTGCCCAACGTCTATATATATATATTACATTATAATAAAAAAAAATTAAAAAATTCTATTATATAGATGATATATATGATCATATTAGAATTCGATCGGGTTCGATTTTTGTTGTTCAACTCGGGTTCCATTTAAATTATTCCACACCTTTATCCCAATTCAATGTATGAATTAAATTTGGATTGAGATTATTCTGAATTACGCATAGCCAATAAAAAAACAAATCAATCAAAGCCCAAATTTTCACCCAGGCTCATAAAAATTCGGACTGTCCAATTGCGTTCGAGTCCCTTGCCTAAGCTGCAATCTTAATTTTGTGGTCTCTCTTCTCTTTCTTTAATTTCATGTGTCACTAATATATATATATATATATTTTTTCACCATGTGTACGTTAGTAGTGTGTTACTAATCCAATGTTGGAAAACACCGATTTTTAATCTTATTGATGCATTTGGTTAAACATAATTGTAAGCAAAATAATAGTTTAATAATAATTAAATAATACTAATAATTTGATTAGGTCAGATGATAGGTTACCCATGCATTGAAGAGAAGTTGCACCTATTTAATAGAGGTGTATTGCACCATGTCAATACTTAAAAGTGTTTTAATTTAAACAAATAACGAATAGTCAGATATATATATATATATATATATATATATATATATAATGAAAAGTTGTGTTGGTTTATTTGAGCCAACACAATCTTAGTGCCTCGTGGAGTGATCTCAATCGTAACGAAGCCTATAATAACCCATCATCCCATTCATAGACTTTAGGTACTGCAAAAATTGATTTAGATATGTTTGTGTATATATGTTACATAATATATATATGTAGATAAATACGCACACCTCTCATTATATATATTGTTTCTGTGTATTGCAATTGCTTATGCATACTAATTGTCATTGTCAAGGGAGTTACGTACGTAGTTGTGGCACCAAGAGAGACCTCCACCAAATTACCATTTCGCTTCCTCATTCAACAGAATCTTTATTGCATTCACAAAAAATTCAACATAAGAAACCTAACTAGCTAGCAACTGTGGTTTACAATTTCACTGTTTATTATTTCAAGTTTAGATTATATTTACATTTTCAGTAATATATGTGTTATATATATATATATATATATATATAGAGAGAGAGAGAGAGAGAGAGAACGGCATTTAAAACATATATATATATATATATATATATATATATATATATATATTATATTTTTATATTGTATTTATAAAAAATATACATGTAGTTGAATGAAATAAAATCAAGGATAATGATGAACAAGAGAATGATAATATGTCTTTATCAAAATTGTAAATGTTAGTGTGGTGTAACTTTTTGTTTTTATTAAATATTGTCAAAGAATATGGTTTGGTAAGAAAAATTGGGAGTTAATTTACACATCTACCCCTATGTAAAGAATTTAATTAGCAGTTGGGAATGACAATTTTCTCTCCTATATAATAAACAAATAATATTATAGTTGAACATACAAAACGTTATTTACAATATAGTCAATTCTCTGTTAGATCCAAAAACATAGATGTCATTTAATTAGTAATAGAACCCACATAGATAAAAATAAGGATGTTGTCTGCAAATTGTCTTCAAAAAGCTAAATGAATGATTCTTTTCATGGAACATTATCTTAATTATCATCTAAATTAATTACTAATTAATCTTAACTTTCTTGACATGCTCATCAACCATACTTGTCTTATTTAGCTGAGTGGGTTGATTTTCGAAACGTAAGAGAGTTGGCGAAGAACTAGTTAGAGAAAGTTAATTAACATCTAGAATGTCAATTGTGTTCTTATTTTTAATCAAGCTTTTGGCATCATGTAGTTTGGCACTTGACTAAGAACAAAGTTGTGGCAGAAGCGACTAAACAAGAATGTGAACTCGTAGGACATGTTTGGTACACGTTGGTATTTTTGTTTGTCGGGTAATATTGTCGAAATGTTTCGTGAATAGCTGTAAAAAATTGAAACATCAATTTGATGTTTTTACATGTTTCAGCGCTGTAATAATGGGTACGGTAGCAATGAATAGGTAAAAACAAAAATTTGAAAAATTATTAAATACTAATTTTAAATTAACTATTATATTTTTTATATTTGCAACATTTTTTTACCAAATATGTTTTGAACAAATGAACGTTTCCGGGCATAATTTCGATTACTACTCAAAACACTAAATTAAAAGTTAAAACAAAACGTGAACCAAATAGCGTCATAATTTGTAAGTTTTTTGGGTTTGGATAATGATTCTAAGACATGATAATTAATCTAATCGAGAAGTTTTTACCTTGGATATACTGGATAAAAAAAATTCTTTGCCACCATCGTTGATTAAATTATCAAGTCTGAATACATTGTCCGAATGGCATTGTCTTTTAAATTGTATCCAATTAAGACTGTGATTACCAAAGCCAAGATTACTCAAGATTTCTTTTAACAAATGTTGAAATAATTTTCACATTATTTTCAAAACATCATATGTCTTTAATAGTAGTAATAATAATAATAGCAAAAAATAATACCACCCAACTTGACCTATAACCAGATTACTAGTCAATAATATATAACATCATCGTACTTAACCGGCTAAATATCATCCATCTCTATATATATAAAAATGTACGTACGTGGACATGTATATATGTTTATATATGTATAAATATATGTTTATAGGCATACTTGTCTATATTATAACCTCTTAATTAATTTTATTTTATTGAATAAAGTAACATGCAAAATATTATGCGTTCACACGCGCAGTCTATATATACTATTTTTTTTTTTTTTTTCAAGAATAAAGTGAAAAGCAACTGGTGTAGGCTCTTTCTGGGCATCCAATCCATATGCCAACTAATTAATCCTTAGAAGCTAAGATACAGCTCATAAAATCTGTTTCATAAACAACTTTTTTAAAAAGTATATTAAAAATTAAACCGGCGATATAATCTATATATTTGTGAAGCTGCTAACATCGGTTCATCGATTAGATACCTATTGTGACATTTCCCCATCACTCCCTCCATTTTTATGTTCACATTCTTCATAATTAGAACATTATTGGCATATTTGAAGGTCGGGATTTTGAATTGCTTTCGGACTACCTCAAAAATTAAATTCAATAATAGTATATATGGAACGGGAGGACTACATGTATTCGGTGATGAATTATGAAATATTATGAGAGATTCGACACCTCCTTTAATACATTATATATATATATATATATATATATATATATATATATATATGTGGTATATGACTGTATCACCTTTAAGTCTATTTTCTCCAAATATTTTATCATTAGTATTTCTAATTTTACCTTCACACAAAGAAAATATAATTATGCAAAATAAAATTAAAAAAAAATGATAAATACAACATAAATCAAATAATAGAATTTTGTTTCTAAAAAGATTAACTACTGAGATAACATCTGAAAAGAGGATTACGGGATATTTATTATAAAAAAAATTGTAATTAACATTGTCATCATCTTAAAATAAAAGTGGAGAATAGCAATAAAATGCATGCAATATATATATATATTTTTATATATATACATATGTATGAACCGGTCCAGTTCGAAAGTCCGGCTGCTAGAACATTAAACGGTTAACGGGCCAAAATCAAGGGCGATATCGTCATTTGAGAGAGAGCGCTCTATATATATATATATGTATATTTTTCAAGAAGAAGCGACTAACGAGTCTCTCTTTTTGGCGGTTTCATTTGGGAGTCTATTCGTTACGTTTGGTGAGTACAATGTATTTCTTGGATTTTCTCGCCTTCCAGTTTCTCGGAAAATTCTTCATTTCCAATCACTTTCTTTTTCTCTATTCTGCATTAATCTTCAATTCTTTCATTGACCCATTTCAATTTTTTATGTTATTTTCTTCTTCTTATTTTCAGTATTTTCAATTTTTATTTTTATTTTTTTGGAGTTGAAGGCAAATGGGAATTTTGAGCAGTTTCTTGGAAATTATTGGTTTCGGAATTGGAATCCCAATTGGAATCTTTATTGGGTTTTACTTCTTCCTCTATTCCAACTCCAAAGATGTAGAGGTAAATGATATACTACATATATAACACACACACACACAAACATATAGTTCTTGTTTTGGTCATTTGTTGTGAAGTTTTTTTCAGAATTTGATTAATGATTACTTCACATGCTCTGCGTATTTTTTCTGATGGTGACAGTCTACATTTTTCTTTTATATATATGTGTGTGTGTGTGTGTGTGTGTGTGTGTGTGTGTGTGTGTTTTAAGGTTTTGTTAATATATGGGCATCTATGAGTTCTTTTATACTGAAAACAAATTATGATTTTGATGTTCTTGTTGCAAATCAAAGAATCTTGATTTATAATGTAAATTAGGTTTTAATTAGGGTGTTTCTAAGTAAGATTTTTTTATTCTATACTTGTTTGGTATGAAATGTGGTCTTAAGTCATTGTAAAGAGAGACATTGTCAAGCAAGGTATAATGGATGAAATTACATAATGGACCATATCGGAGTCGTGTTTCTTGTTCAGGCCAGTACAACTCATAACCCCTAAAATTAGGTTTTTCTAATAATTTTCATTGACTTTTATTTATAAGCATGATTTAACATACGTAACAAGTATTATACTAATTATAGTGAACTATTTGTGATTTTTTTGATCATGAATTAGTTAAAAATAAAAATTCAGAGTTGAAGCATCTTCAAATGATATCATGGTATCATTGTCACATGAGCACAAAATGAAAGCTTGTGCTGATGGAGATCTCGATTTTGGATTCATTATTATTTTCATAATTCAACTTTTGGCTGGAGATATGGGTTGTAGTTGATGAAACATTACCTAAATCAATCCCGAATAATGAAAAACTTTAAGACAAATTTGGATCTTTTTTCGGCTAAGTATAAAGTTTGAAATTTAAATTTTAAAATATAAAAAAAAAAAAGTGTTGGAAAATGACTGAAAATAGATTTTAGGTACATGAATGTATTTTAGGTACATGAATGTTGTGGCCTTCTTGGTTGTGGTTTGATCCTTTTTTAAAATCTGCTTTTCTCTACACTTTTACACAATATTTTTAATCCGAAATTGTGCATCATTGGACCTGAAAATAATCTTGTTATTGAACTAAACACTGCAGGATCCAATTATTAGGCCACTGTGTGAACTAGATGGCACTGCTTTGCGAGATATTTTGCCTGAGATTCCTATCTGGGTGAAGAATCCTGACTATGATCGAGTAAGATTGTTTTTCAATCTCCCGTATCGTTGCTATCAGCTATCATTATTTTGATGTTTTGACATTTTTGTTTTTCTATTTTTTCTCACATGCGATTAATTTCTGATTAGTATTGCATTTGAATGAATGTGAAGGTGGACTGGTTGAACAAGTTTATTTTGGAAATGTGGCCTTACCTTGACAAGGTAATCTAATAACTCAGGAATCCGTAAACTTCTGATTAAAAATATCAAGCTAAATTCTAAATGTACAGGCCATTTGTAGCATGATAAGAAGCACGGTTCAACCTATGTTTGCGGAGTACATTGGGAAGTTTTATATAGAATCAATTGAGTTTGAGAATTTAAGCCTCGGCACTCTTCCTCCTACAATTCAAGGTAAGTTTTCTTCTTGGCTTCATCTAATGTTGCTTTCTCGAGGGGTTTATAGAATAATCTTTGGCTCGAAATTTTTGGTTCATACAGAAGAAACCTAAGTTAATTTATTTCACTATCTTGGAAGATGCCACTAATAATTCTCCAGTTTCACCAATTCACTTTACTGGTGGTTTCTGTGTATATGGATTGTTTAAATTGATAGCTGACTAATAACCTCTTCACACTCTTGATATTAATATTTGTTGAAATCAATTCCACAAGCAAACTAGAATTATTTATTAATTTTGCAAAATAAAATTAGTTTACACTCATTCACTGGAAATTCATTTTGGAATATGATCCTTTGGTGAAATTTTTTTTTGTTGCAATGGAAAATAAGGTTAAAAATTGAGTCAGAAGATTAACAGAAAAAACATTGGCATTATTTATAAACACGATAATGCTGGTGTTGGAAGTAATATGCATTAATTTTGATTTAATATGCTTTAGTTTTTATTTTACTATGCAACTTGGCAGGTCTCAAAATCTATGAAACAAATGAGAATGAACTATTCCTGGAACCGGCAATAAAATGGGCCGGCAATCCAAACATAATTGTGGTGTTAAAAGTGTTGTCTCTGCGAATAACAGTTCAGGTCAGAAGAACCTAGGCACACAAGCCTTTACAGAAGAATGTGTGTTTTTAGTTCCTTTAAAGAGAACATGTATTGGAGGATTGATTATGCTTCTTCTCAGTTGGTGGATTTACAAGTATTTGCAAAACTGCGGATAACTTTGAAACCTCTCGTGGCTACCTTTCCATGTTTTGCGAACATTATGGTATCTCTGATGAAGAAGGCAAGCACAGAAACATTTGCCACCATTTCTACCTTTTTCCTTCCTCTTTTAATGTTTCGGTGAATGGATATTAATTATTGTTTCTCTTTGTCGATCATTGTTAATTTTGTGCAGCCCCGTGTAGACTTTGGTCTGAAAATACTGGGAGGGGATATAATGTCCATACCCGGCCTTTATCGATTTGTTCAGGTGCTACACTAGTAACTCACTTGTGTGATTGGAGGGTAATCTCTGTCTGGTCAATTGATTTTTTTTTTTCGTGAGTCTTGCAGGAGACTATTAGAAAAGAAGTTGCTAACCTTTACCTCTGGCCCCAATTTCTTGAATTACCAGTCATTGATGCTTCGACGTAAGTTCTTCTATGATATATGTTGATTTCATGACAATGTTGCAAGTAAAACAATAGAAGTATAGCTACATTTTTTTTTTCTTTTTCTTTTTTTTTTTATAGATTGGCCACGAGCAAGATCGTGGGGATACTGCATGTAAAAGTTGTACGAGCCCGGAAACTGTTGAAGATGGACTTACTAGGAACATCTGATCCTTATGTTAAGCTCAGCCTGAGTGGAGACTCTCTGCTAGCAAAGAAAACTACCATCAAGAAGAAGAACCTGAACCCTGTGTGGAATGAGAAATTCAAGCTTACTGTGAAGGACCCTCAATCTCAAGTGCTTCATATAAATCTCTTTGACTGGGATAAGGTTTGTCTGCTGACCTTCTCTAACATTGATTGATAATTAAGAGTGAAAATTTTAAATTTATAAAATGAATAAGCAATAAACCATTATAAGACTAATAAGAATTTATAACCGAATGGAAGAAAAATGATTCCGAATGGTCACTGGACTTCTGAATTCACTTAATGAGCATAATGGATAAAAAATGAAATCTTTGGTAAAGTGATTCATAGATGACACTAGTATATCTGGAAAGAGAAAGATAGTCTCACCACCCCAATATGGAGGGGCGAAGAGCTCTCCTACTCTCACAATTGGGTAGTTACAATTATGTAGTTTTCGGATAATGTTCATAGGTTCCTCTTAAGGGTTCAAGAAGTGTTTTTCAAGAACTTAAGTCCGTGTACTCTATATATAACCTCCAATATGTTAGACGATTTTGAGTCACTGAAGTGTCTGCAATGATTTTCCCGAAAGGTTTGATTTTTGCAAAAGACATCAGCATCCTCATCCTCCACATTATCATCTTTTCTTTTCCGTGCTCTTGTTAACAGGTAGGAGCACATGACAGGTTGGGAAAGCAAGTGGTTCCTTTAAAAGTGCTAACGCCCTATGAGACGAAGGAATTTTCTCTTGATTTGCTCAAGGACACAAGCAGTAGTGATCCTCAAAGCATCAAGAACAGAGGGACAGTTGTGGTGGAGCTGACGTATAATCCTTTCAAAGAAGATAGCGATGGGTCTAGTGGACATCTGGATGCCGATGGGCAGAATGAAAGTATAAACGATAGGGCATTAGGCAATGAGAGCCCCAGTGGAGCAGGTGTACTTTTGGTTACAGTCCAAGGAGCTGAGGACGTAGAGGGAAAGAGTCACAACAATCCGTATGCTTTGGTACTTTTTAGAGGAGAAACGAAGAAATCAAAGGTGAGATTTACCTTGACAAAAATTCTCTTTCAAATTGTCCATCCCTTAACCTGGATTGCATAAAAATGGACACAGACTCGAGCAAGAATTCATCTGGGCTGAAAAATAAAAGTCTTCAGTTAATATAAAAGCTATATTTATATGTATGTGTGTATGTATATTGGTTGTTAGTTTGTGAAATTATGAAGCATCATAAAATTATATGTATGAAGTTACTTCATTTTATGCTCATATTGAATCTTTTAAATTGACTCAAATATCATTCAATCAAATATCAGCATAATTGAGCTTGACGATGTCATATTTACCACCAAAAACTCGGAGAACCTACAGTACTCACAATCTAACAAGTCTTACTAAAGTTCATAATGGAAAGAAAATATAGAGTGAAGCCCGAAATACGTTAAATGCTACACAAAATGTCCAAACTTGTCATCTATCTTTTACTTCAGCTCGATTAAATATTGGTGGTGCTCTTGTTCACTGTTTAGTGTTTGTATATTTTTCCTTATTGAGTCAAGTCCTTTTGTTTCCCACTTTGTTCTCTCCCCTATTTTTGTGTGTGTTTGCTATTGGATTGAGTCAAAGTGGTTTAGAGAACCTAAGCTGCTGTGATTAACTTCAAGTTTTATTCTGATATCTCACAACCTAAGGCTGCTTGACAATTTTGAAAGCATAGATTAACTACTTTCAATCATTTGAAAGTTGAACTTTAGTAATTGTTCTTGGTTTCTTCAGGTAATCAAGAAAACCCGCGATCCAATCTGGAATGAAGAGTTTCAGTTTTTGCTTGAAGAGCCTCCAGTAAGGGAGAAGATCCATATTCAGGTCATGAGCAAGCGCAGCAGACTTAGTTTCCGATCAAAGGTTATTTTCGCCTCCTTTTTATCACCATCCTATTTCTATCCTTATAGTTGTTACTCACTCATAATTCACAAAGTGTTCAGAACTTGAAAAAATATGTCATTTCGCAACAATGTAGGAGTCACTAGGGCATGTGGATATTAGTCTTGCTGATGTTGTACATAATGGACGAATCAACGAGAAATACCATATGATAGATTCAAAGAATGGAATGATACATGTTGAGTTAGAGTGGAAGAAAACTTGAGAACCAGGATGAGGATATAATAGTCATATCATTTGTGATCAAGAGGTAAATTATTTCATTTTTAAGATTTCAATTTTTACTGCATTGCAGCACATACAAGATCTTCATAGACTTCACAGGAAACAGAGTAGGTCATTAGAGTTGTTCATATCCACTTGAAACATCATAAATTTTGTATGTACCACAAAAACATATAAATTTTGTCATTGTCATGCAAATTTTTGCATTTGTTAATTAATTTTTGTTTCTATACTAAGCATTGTATAAACCGGAGAAATGAGTTTAAATTTTCTTGCATGGTGTGAATTTTTTTTTTTTTTTTTTCCCTACCCAAAACAAGTGGTGTGAAGGTAATTCAGCTAATAAGATTTAGAACTTGAAAAAAAAGAGTCTGATGCAATTGAACATTTCGAGGGTGGGCTTTCTGCAATAGTAAAGTTGCTTCATGCGCAAGTAAGACTGTGTACATTTAACCATCTTCGCATGCGCAAGTAAGACTGTGTACATTTAACCCTCTTCGCATGCGCAAGTAAGACTGTGTACATCTGCAAGTAAGATTGTATAAATCTGACTATCTCTGCATGCGCAAGTAAGACTGTGTACATCTGACCATCTCCGCATGCGCAAGTAAAGAGTGTGTACCTCTTATCACATCCAACCTCCTATCCAAGTAGTCCGTGGGACCTAATTGGTTGGCCCATTACTACTAACCATAACCATAAAAGAAAAATAAAATAAAATAATAAAAGAAAATAAAACATTTAATTTACGATTAATCAAAAAACAATTTAAGCACATAATCTAATTAAACAATTAACACATAGAAAAGTACAAATAATACATAGACACATAATCAAATAATCAAGTAATACCTAATTCAATTAAATACATAAGCAATTAGTCAAATAATCAATTAAATAATTAACAATACAATTAAAACAAATAAATAAATACCGAGACTATCCTTTTAAAATTAGGGGTATTACATTATTCCCCCCTAACAAAAGGAATTTCGTCCTCGGAATTCGCCCTTACTTTCTTCCATTATGTTTGGAAACTGTGAGCAAAAAACATCCTCCTATTCTCAAGTAGACGCAACCTCACTATAAGGGCTCCACTTAACTCCAACATACCAAGTGGTATACAGGGTTCCTAAATTTTAAGAAACACAATAATCATACGATGCGTAGGTTGTATCAAATAACAACGTAATCCTCCTATGCCGACAAGGGAATGATCTACATACCTCCAAGTGACATAGAATATACGCACAAACTCCTAGGCACCCAGCGCTAATAATTTGGTAACGCTAATTCAGAGGTGACTGCCTCAATTGAGAAACACAATCTTCTAAAAGTCAATGTAATAAGTAAAATTGACCTTTCTCCAAAAATTGTCTTTCTTCTTACATAGAAAACAGAACGAGCAAACTACTCCCTGATAGAATAACTCTAGTATACGAGTTCAACTATTTACAACATCCTACTGTTACCTCCCAACCGCGCACAATTCAATACAAAGGGAAGTATCTCTTTCCGACATATTTTTAAATGAAGTCGAGGTCTGATTGTACAACTCTTATTTCCATTTCCAACCAACAAATGAGAGGTATGCATTGTCAAAGATACAAAACCTCCAAAGTTGTCACACTAACCTCCTTGTGCCAACAATATCACAGACAAAATTCCGACAAGTGAAGTAAACACTTCCAACTGTCCATGAAAATCTAGGATATACGCCTCAAACATATCCATTATGGTCTAATTTAATCTCTCGATTAATTCTTCCGTCTATAGATATGAAGTAGAGCTGCTGCTCCAAAATCTTCATAAAGCTCATTCGAAATAGCACTTTACATCCACTAATATGGACATCCACATGTTATAACACCACTATCACTGAACTATAGAACTACTATGAAGTTCTAAAATAAGCATCACTCAAATTTATGTCCTCAAGCGATCTTTCTCAATCCACCACTCGGATTCCATATGGAAAATTGAAATTCCAAATCAATGTCAATCCTTCCCACCGACCGTCAAACCTGTTTAGTTCAACTTCCATATTTGTTATAGGAAATGGCTAAGGATTCCTGCGATATCCGATGATCAAGTATCCACCTTTGTAGTAGGTTTTACACTTAGGGCAATTATATATGCATCCTTATCCGTATCTGTTCACCAAAATCGACATTTGATGTCATGATGTACCTTCTAACCGTCTGAGCACACCGAGAAAAATTATAAACTTTCTAGCTCAGTCGCCCGATCGTCATATCACTATTTACAGAAACTACTAAATCCTCCTCGAGTACCTTAAATTCCATCTGAGTAAGGTAATACCGTCTCCAAGGTCAGCTCCAATATTCAAAGTTGACATTCTCAACTACCGTAGTAATAACAAGTGTTATTATTACACTGGCTATAAATGCATTTGATAACTCAACAACTAACCGAAAGATTTAAATATTATATCGTTTGTTGAGAGCATCCATTTACATCATCGCTTCCACCAGACGGAACTTGATATAAAGTGTGAATCACCACTGTAATTTATCTAAACCGTCTCGTGATACATTATATTCGTATGAACTGAAGTCCTACCAGTTCGAAATAGACAAGAATTAAGCTGACCTAATTTATCAGTCAACCAATATTCCATCTAGAATCCTGACCCTTGTGTAAAATCAGAAATCCTGCAACTAAATCTGTAAAATGCTCTCTCATTTTCACTTTAGTATAAGAAATGGCTGCAAAGGATCTAGTGATCTTTGATGGTCCATCTCTACTATCTAATAAATATTAGACTTGGAGAGAAATCAATATGTCCATTCTCCTGCCTATCGTGAAGCATCATGTTTCCACCAGGATAAAGAACTAAAGGTTGTGAAACTCAGTCCGTGCATCCTCCATCCAATTTGTATATAGAAAGTACCGTTAGTCCGGTATCACCAGCTTTCGTCTATACCCAAAGTTTAAATTGGAGCATCTTCAGAAGGGAATTCTGTAACTAAATCTATTCACCACTGATCCGTGATAAACTTGCCGATATTGAAAATCAATCGGTAATTCCATTTATCAATAGTCAACTATGACTTTAACTCAACAAAAGTCAACAAACTACGACCTTTCCCTACATACCATGCATCTCATCTTTATATAGGTGTTTGGTCTCACCATCTTGTCTTTGACACACACTGCTTCTTTAAGACAAGTTAATGACATATTGTGATGACCTTGTGGGCGGGTGTGCCGTAAGCGGGTGCAAGAGACACTGTCAGGCTACCACACTGGCGAGCTATAGGTGCACAAGTCCCACATCGCCTGGGAGAAGGAAAGGTGAAATGCTTATATGTAAGTGTGTCATCTCCAATTGGTATGAGGCCTTTTGGGGTGAAGCTCAAGAGCAAAACCGTGCGGGCTCAGGCCCAAAGCGGACAATATCATACCATGTGGTGGAGTGGGGCGTTACAAATGGTATCAGAGCCTGACCCAGCCAGAAGTGTGCCGACGAGGACGTCGGGCCCCCAATTGGGGTGGATTGTGATGACCTTGTGGTCGGGTGCAAGAGACACTATCAGACTACCGCATTGGCGAGTTACGGGTGCACAAGTCCCACATCACCTGGGAGAGGGAAATATGAAGTGCTTATATGTAAGTGTGTCATTTCCAATTGGTATGAGGCCTTTTGGGGTGAAGCCCAAGAGTAAAATCGTGCGAACTCAGGCCCAAAACGGACAATATCATACCATGTGGTGGAGTGGGGCGTTACAAATGGTATCAGAGCCTGACCCAGCCGGAAGTGTGCCGACGGGGACGTCGGGCCTCCAAGGGGGGTGGATTTTGATGACCTTGTGGGCGGGTGTATCGTGGGCGGGTGCGAAAGATACTAACAGGCTACCACATTGGCGAATTACAGGTGCACAGTCCCACACATTGCCTGGGTAGAGGAAATGTGAAGTGCTTATATGTGGTGGTGTTATTTTCAATTGGTATGAGGCCTTTTGGGGTAAAGCCCAAGAGCAAAACCGTGTGGGCTCAGGCCCAAAGCGGACAATATCATACTATGCGGTGGAGTGGGTCGTTACAGGAACTACCCTAGTGCGCACGTGTGGGAAGAGTTAATCTTCTGCCCTAGAGCCATACTCTAGTTATATCGAATTTCCAAAATAAACGAATTGTGCTACAAAGTCTATATATATATATATATAAAAGGTAATAAACTAACTACCATGCACAAACCAATTTTGGAAACACACAATACATATTCTAAGTCCACAACTACTATGGCATGACAAATGTCGAATCTTTAGAGTGCGATTTGTTACACACTATAATAACATCACATGTCGAATCTTCAGTGTGCGATTCGTTACACGCTATAACAATATCATTCAATATTGAAAACATAAACTCATGAATCTAATACAAGTCTAAAATCATGATTTAAACATACAACCAACGTCAAATACATGATTAAATCATTAATGCAATAAAAATGAAAATTAATTAAATAAACTAATTATTTTCTTTAGGTTTCAAATCTCAACCAAATAATCCCTAATTAATATATGTTAAACAACATAGCATGCTCATTACATATATCAACTCGAAAACTTAATTAAGTCTTTGGAATAATAAAGTACAATTTAATTAAATCATTATAATGAAATCTCTAAATTCTAAAGTAACTCAAATGTTCCCAAATTAATACTACCTCCGTCCCAAAAATAGTGTCATGTTTCGGGAACCATGTCAGTTCAATTTGTGATAGTCACGGTTTCCTAAAAGTGACACTTTTTATGGGACAGAGGGAGTACATGCTAGTAAACAAGTCCTAATCATTACAAATATCAAGTTAAAAATTCAATTAAGTGATTAAAATACTTAAAATAAAATTAATTAATCTAATTAATTATTTTTCTCTAGATTTTAAAACAATTCCAAATATTCCCAAATTTACATATGTTAAAGAACACATTAAGGCTTAATTTAATATCACATTATAAGTTGATTCCATGCTAATTACAATCATGTGAATTAAATCTTCATATAAGTGAAAAATTAAATAAAAGTTTCAATATTTATTCAAATACTCCCAATTTAATATATGTTAATGAACATATCAAGGCCTATTTTAATAATATGGAATTCAGTTATAAACTATATACAACCATATTAATTAAATTATATATAAAGAAAATAATTAAATTAAATTCTAAAATAAATATAATGGCATGCATACAAGTTGTATAAGCTTAGAAAATAATTAATACAACAAGAATATAAACCTATAACATCCCCTACCTCCATTTGAGATGAAATCTCAAATCCCACCGAAAGGAAACCGCTCCGAATCCGACAACACTTCTAAGTTATGTTGGGGACAACGAGAGAAGTAATTATCACCTTTGAGGCACCATGAAAATCCAAACTCAAACTAAAAAATGGTC